GTAGTTGAGTGAATAAATGAATGAATGATTGATTGAATGAATGAATGCGTGAGTGAATGAATGAATTTTTGAATGAATGAGTGAGTGAATGAATAAATAAGTGATTGAGTGAGTAGTGAGTGAATGAGTGAGAGAGTGAGTGTAGTTAACAATAACTAGTTTGTTGTATTAGTTGCGGTTACTTCTATTCTAGATTTTCTTCTCGATTATTATTATTATTGTTGTTGTCGTTGCGGTTGTAATAGCAGTAGTGGTGGTGGTGGTAGTAGTAGCAGCAGTAGTAGTAGTAGAAGTAATAGTAGCAGCAGCAGTAGTAGTAGTGGTAGTAGTAGCAGTAGTAGTAGTAGTAGTAGTGGTAGTAGTAGCAGCAGCAGTAGTAGTAGTAGTGGTCGTAGTAGCAGCAGCAGCAGTAGTAGTAGTAGTAGTGGTAGTAGTAGTAGCAGCAGTAGTAGTAGTAGTAGTGGTAGTAGTAGCAGCAGCAGTAGTAGTAGTGGTAGTAGTAGTAGCAGTAGTAGTAGTAGTAGTGGTAGTAGTAGTAGCAGCTAGTAGTAGTAGTAGTGGTAGTAGTAGCAGCAGCAGTAGTAGTAGTAGTAGTGGTAGTAGTAGTAGCAGTAGTAGTAGTGGTAGTAGTAGTAGCAGTAGTAGTAGTGGTGGTAGTAGTAGTAGTAGTAGCAGCAGCAATCGTCATCAGCATCATCGTTTGCGTCACGAAAACATCAAAAAAAAATTTTATTTAATATTTTTCAACTCTGAACTACACAATCACTCTTTGTTGCTAGCAAACACTGTTTGCAATAATAATAATAATAATAATTTATAATAATAATAATTTATAATAATGTTAATAATAAAAAGAATAATAATTTTTTGTTCTTACTCGTTCCATTGTCTATTTTTTTTATTAGTCACTGAATTCATCGTCGTCGTCATCATCATCATCATTACCTTCGTTGTTATAATAATTATTATTATTATTGTTATTATTAATATTATTATTATTGTTATTAATAGTAGTAGTAATAATTTAATTTTAGTAACGTTATCAGCGTATTTCGGCATATCGATGTATAGCATCATTTCGGTTACTTATAATTTTTAGTGATAGTAGTAGCAGCAGCAGTAGTAGTAGCAGCAGCAGTAGTAGTAGCAGCAACAGCAGTAGGTTGTCGTTGTTGTTGTTAATGTTGTTGTTGTAGTTGTTGTGGTTGTCGTTGTTGTTGTTGTTGATGTAATCGTTCGCTGGTCAACTGATCATTCATTTTCTTCCCATTCACTCCAGAATTCCTGTTACCATCTTTGCAGCCTCCATCGAGCGCTCACCCAACCCTCACCCAGCCGTGCACCTGGACAGTATTTTCGTTGTTGTTGTTGCAGTTGTTGCGGCTTGAGTCATATTGAAGTCGTATAACCATTGATTAAACATCATTGGCAATTTCCTCCGTTTGTCGTTATTATGAATTATTATTATGAATTATCGTCATTATGAATTATCGTCATTATGAATTATTGTTATTATGAATTATTATTGTTATTGTCCTATTCCCTTATTGTTTTCATTTCTTTGATCTTTAAATCGTTCAATTGTTAACCATTCGTTCATTATTTTAAACGTTTATTTATTTATTGATTTTTTTAGTTAATTCGCTCATTCAGTCATCCATTCGACTCATTCATCTATTCATTCATTCATTACATGCATTTATGCTTTCATCATAAATTTATTTTTTAATCAATCAATCTATCCATTTATCCATTCATTCACTCATTCATTCATTCATCGACATCTCATCACTTTTTCTTTCCTTCAATCATAAAAATGAATATTTTTTTCAGCAGGCGCCATATTTTTCATTAAAATTTCTCTCTAATTAATAAAATAACTAGATGGGGAAAAATGTTGAGACATTTTTAACGATATATTTCGACTCGGAGATATCGATTATTTGTCGGTATTTTAGATGAGTTTTTGCACGCGCATGTGTCTGTTTGTGTACGTGTGTGTATCTGTGCGTGTGTCTGTCTTTATGATTTTTAAATTGTTTAATTTGAAGAAAAAAAATTATCTCAAATGCGAAATCGATTATAAATAAATTAAGTTTCTCAAAACTGTTACTAACATATTTAACTGAGAAAACCCATCAGCTAATAGTCACACACACACACACACACATACGTGGCCCGCACCGCCGGTACGACAGATCGCGTCATCGATGGTTCTTCCCGTGAGCAAAAAGTCCTATTCTTGACAGACATCCCTGGGAGGAGCAAGCAAATAGAAATAAATATTGAACTATAGGGGGGCCAGCATAGAGGGGCCAGACGTTTTGTCCCATTGACAACTTTGAACTTTGACTAACCCTAACCCTAACTTTGAAGCTTGGGGAGCACTGGCCGTCATGAAACTGGAGGGCAGCTGAATTTTTCGAGGCATATCCACAGTGCAGACCTTTCAACTGTGTCCAACGCTTTTGACAAGTTTATGAAGATAAACAAAAGCTCTTTCTGTTGTTTTTGTATTTTTCCAAGATTTGCGTATATTATTTTATTTTTCATTTTATTTTGTGTATAGTAGTAGTAGTATTAGTAATAGTAGCAGTAAAAGTAGCAGCAGCAAAAGTAGTAGTAGCGTTATGAAGATTAGAAAATTGTTTTAAATAAAAATTTTCACAGTATATTATCCACTTATTTAATACTTTTACACTTCCATAATACATTTTACTAAATTTTTTCAGGAAATCTCCCCCAAAAAGATAAAGAATAGTAGAAAGATATCGGTGACGTCACTAGTTCGAATTGAGGTAGTAGGTTGTGTAGAATAATCGAGTATCACCAATCAATAAAGTGTAGTCTATGCAACCGTCTGCCTTTTCTCGAGCTGGTGTCTTGCAGCATTTAAAGTCTTTGGGTGTAGCCTAATTTTTGAATTTTAAATAAATCTTGTGTATTAATTAGTGTCTTTGGGTGTTTCTTCATGTAATCGTTAACTTTTGAATTTTAATTTAATTTTGAATTTGTTTGGCTATCTAAATGTGTCTGAGTTATTCACAACTGTTGGATTTTGCGTCTTTGGATGACTTTTTCAAGAGTTAGTGTTAAAAATACTTCAATGTATAAACTCAATGCCATTGAATAATTCGTTTGTGAATATTCTTTGAAAATAAAATCTCGAAAAAGTCTTTTTTCCATTAATTTGCAAATTTTATTGAAATGGAATAATCAAAAAATGAGCTCAATGTAGTTTTTCGACGTACTACAGAAAATAAAATAAGATGCGAAAGAAAGGTGATTAACTTCTTAAAATTATTAGCATAGGTGTATAAGCATTACATATCAAATGTTTATGAAAAGTGCTGCACCCAATCAATGTTGACATTTTCATTACTAAAGTTCGAGCTAAGTGACTGATTCGAAACATATCTGACTATTGTTATTGAACAAATTTGCAAAAAAAAATCTCAAAAGCGCTACCAACGTTCACAGAGCAAAGGAAATCCTCGCAAAATCTTGTGAAAGACAGGTCAGGGGCAGGCAGATTGGAAGGCCCATTCCTCCACAGGGCAGGTAGGCCCAGAAGTTTCAACTGGCGGCTACTACTAGAAGTCGAACTAGTGGGAAGGGCAAATAGTGGATTGGAAAGAGTCCAGCGTGTCCATTGTAAATCAAAAACCTATACATAAATCTACATACATACATGCATCCATACATACATACATATATCTTTTGATAATAATAATATATACATTAAATAATAATTAAAATTGCAAACAAATCCTAAATATGTTTCTGTGTTATATTATCCTTGCAAAACTTTACGCCACATCAGCAATATTCACTTTGAAAATTTCGCAACTAAATAATCATCAATGAACTAATGTATGAATGTGCGAATAATGAATGAATGAATGAATAAATGAACGAATGAATGAATAGATGGATGGACACAAAAGAAAGAAAGAACTCGAGCAAAACAATCATTAAAAAATTAAAATCGTTTACAATATAGTCAAATCATTGAAAGAATTTTTTTTCACAAAACTTAAAAATATACATATTTACAAATTTCAATGTTACATTCGACATTTTCACCATCTGATATCATTCTATTTTAATATGGCACAATTACAAAATTTGGCCTTTACATTGAGGCACCTGTCCTGACCTTAATCTTGACCCCACTGACCAAGTTGTCCTTTTTTGTTGGTCAGTAGTGGTTATTTAGCTTGTCTCCTTTTCATTCATCACATTTTTCCCTGTGGGAGTCGAATTCGGATCTTTCAATTTTCTCCAAGCAGTTATCACATTTGATGAAATCTGGCACTGGTGGTACTGCTACTGCAGCTGATGTTGTTGTAGTAGTTGTTGTTAGTGGTGATGATGATGATGTTGCAGCTGGTAATGATGATGATGATGTAGCAGTTGATGTTGGCGTCATCAACTTATCAGTACGTGAAGACAAAACAACGTCACCTTTCGGTGAATTATTCATAACGTTAAGTTGCTGATGTTGTTGTTGCAGATGTTGTTGTTGCTTATTTTTAGCTGCAAAATCAAATTCCAAAGAATTATCAGGGCTTTTATTACCACTATTATCATCAATGGCGTTAATTTTATTATTATCTTTGCTTTTGTTTTTGTTGTTGCTAACTGTCATCTTTTTGCCTGTTTGACCCTGAAATTTAAAAAAAAAAATATCTGAACCAATGATGATAATATATATCCGTGCATATATAAGATATATATTATTCTATTATTCATCAATTCATTCATTCATCAATTTATTCATCAATTCATTCATTCATTCACTCTCACATTCGCAGTTTCTCATTTGTTCTTTTAACAATATCATTCATTCCTAATCATTTAATCTCATCATTCACATCATATTCGTTCTTTCATTCATTTACGGATGTGCGCATATTTTCATTAATTCATTAAGTCAGTCATTCATTCATCAATTCATTTATTCATTCATTCACCAATTTATTCATTTATTCATTCATTCATTCGCTCACGCATTTGCAGCTCCTCAGTTGCTCCTTTAAGAGTAAGACATCTCCCTTCAGCATCTTGATCTCGAAATCTTTTCCTTTCAGTAAATCTTTCAAAAATAAATTGTCCTAAAAATAATATTAATAATTATCATAATAATAAAAATGATTATTATGACGCAATTGTATAATAACAACAGCAACAAAAATCGCTAACCAAGTATTCTTGCATGGTCTTGCCATCTTTAATGAGGAGGTCTCTCACACATTTATTCAGATATTTGTTCTGGGTGAGCACTTTGTCAAATAATTTCGACGGGACGACGTCCGCATCATTTATCGACTGACAGGGAATAGAATTTTGTGCCTGTGCTTTCGAAATTTTATTCCGGTCTACCGATCTAGCAGCCGTGTTTTCATTGAATGTCAATTTTTTTGCATGTCTATCGTCCATTTTACAGAAATTTTTTGATGAAAGTTCATCAAAATTTGTCGCTCCAGTTGAATCTATTTCAGATTGATACTGACCCGAAGACTCATCTACGTGGATGATTTCCATGTTTTTGTAATTTCTAATACTTAAATAATCCGTCTCTAGACAGTCACTATCATCGCTATCATCATCGTCATTATCTTTGATTTTATTTTTCCCTCCCTCATCACAAAACTCTATTGTTCTTTCATTCTCATTTTTGATTGGTTGTTCCATTAAGTCAGTCTCACATTTTATTGGCTTATCTTTTTTATCCAATTTTGAGATTTCACTTTGTTTGCAACAATCCATTTCTAAATCCGGGTCCACTTTTGAAGTAGTAGTAGTAGTAGTGGTAGTAGTAGTTGATAAAAATGATGATGATGATGACGTCATTTTCAGTGAGTCCAATTCCAATTCCAAATTTTTAATCAACGCTTCCTGTTCTGAAACTTTACCCCTCAGAGAATTAATTGTCTTGGCGTCCATTCGATGTTTCTGTGAAGACTTTTTAAGCATTTCTGAAATTTTCCCAGAGTCAATAGGTGTTGTTGTTGTTGTTGTCATGGTTACAGTATTATTATTATTCTATTATTATTTAATTATTATTATAACTGTTGTTCAATTATTATTATTGTTGTTGTTGTTATAAAAAAAAATTTATTAGTTGTATATGGATATTGCTAAGGAATTTTCTATAAAATTAACTTTTCGCGGCTTTTTCTGAAAGTTTGAAATCTTGAGAGAGAAAAATTACAAAAACATTTTATTATTATTATTATTGAAAATTAATTGATAAAAGACAATAAAATAATTTTACACATAAAATAAATCAATTAAAAATATAAAATATTAATAATATTATTTCTCTCAACTCATTCTATAAATCTAAAATTTACTTTTAAAGAATGTATATATATACATACATTTAAATATATATATATATATATATATATATATATATATATATATATATATATATCTATGTGTGTGTGTGTGTGTGTATTATACCTTATATACATAATCTGAAAC